AATATTATAATAAAATTTGAATAGAACTTAAAAATATATGTAAAAATATGCAGTTTCTTAAAAACTTAAGTCAATTGTTATTTTTGATTACCCGCATGATGACATTTATATTATTATTMTTATAATTCAATAAAAATAAAAATTATAAAATTGTGTTCTTAAATTGTATGCTTATTGTTTCAGACTTTCAAAAGTTTATTATAACTTCTTTGACTAAAATTAAATACAATTTAACTGCATTAAGCCACACTGTAAATGCATCAAACATGATTTTGGAGAGTGGAGGTACATTGATTTCTTCAAACCTACCAAACACATTTCAAGAAGCTTTTATCTTGATGAAATTTTTCCAATAAAGTCAATTAATGAACTTGAGGATTTATAACAAAAAATTGATTTTGATAAACAGTTCAGATTGAATGTAGTATGTTAAAATTATAGACGAGTGTCAAAAAATACTTTTGTTCATTTTGTATTATTTGACTTTTTTTTTATTAAACTCAATTGTAGATTTCAAAATTAACATTGTTGGTTGGAACTAAAAGTGTTGGCGACAGTGTCAGAAGGCTGATGGCGAAAATGTTTGAAGACAAAGTTTTAATTGAATTTTCTTTACAAGGGTTTAAGAAAAAAAAATCTTTCAAACTATGCAAAGTTTATCGTTTATTGATTGGTAAGTTTATTATGTTTAAATCTGTTTATAATGTAACCCATTTTTATATAGATGCAATTAGAGTTCATCCAAAGTTTCAAAACCTAATTGATAGAGAATTTGATGTGCCACTAGCGACATGGTTGGCCCATGCTAAGTATAGGATGATCAACAAAAATAATGATAATACTGCTACGATGGAGTGAATTTTTTTTTAAACTAATTATGAATAAATTATGATTAATAGTGTATTTGAAAGTACTAAATATTTTGTTTATTTTAACAGTAAAAACAATACAGTTTTCATTCTTGTTTTTTTTGTTTTTATTCAAAGTGATAAAAAATGTGTATAAAAATCAAAAATATAATAATAATTTTTAACAATCATTTGTAATATATTAGATATGCCTGTACTGCACAGAAGACATACAAATTGATTTGTTTTATTTTTTACATGTTATTATTACTTTTGTTAGTTATTATAGTACATTAGTTGTACTAATAATATTCTATTTGGAAGAAATTTTAGTGCTTGAACAATAATTATTTGTTTCACAATTTCTTATGTTTGACATAGTATAAGTTGTCAAGTTTTTACTACAGTTCTCATCTCAATCTGTAGCTAGGGAGGTTAAGGTGTTAGGAATGTTAAAGAGGAGTATCAAGAACGAATCTGGT